CCTCCTGCCTCCCTGTGCATGCCAGCTGTCTTCCCACCACTGCTGAAAAGTATCTTCCCTGCCCACAGCTGTCCCTGTTAAGCCAGTCCACTTCCCAAGACCCAGTTGCCAGGAGACACTGAGCATAAATGGCCAAGCACCCACTTTCATACATTTCATAGACATCAGGGCTGGAAGGGACCTCGGAAGATCATCGAGTCCAGCCCCCCGCCCAAAGGGCAGGAAGTCAGCTGGGGTCACAGGATCCCAGCAAGATAAGCATCCAGTTTCATCTTGAAGGTGTTCAATGAAGGCGCTTGAACCACCTCCGGTGGCAGGCTGTTCCAGACCTTGGGGGCTCGGACAGTAAAGAAGTTCTTCCTTATGTCCAGCCTGAAACTATCTTGAAGTAGTTTGTGACCATTCGACCTCGTCATCCCTTGGGGCGCTCTGGTGAACAAATGTTCCCCCAGATGCTGGTGGTCACCCCTGATAAACTTGTAGGTGGCCATCAGATCACCCCTGAGCCTGCGCTTTTCCAGACTAAAGAGCCCCAGGGCTCTCAGCCTGTCATCGTAGGGTCTGCTTCCCTGACCTGATCATGTGCGTGGCTCTTCTCTGGACTCTCTCAAGCTTCTCCACATCCTTTTTGAATTGTGGAGCCCAAAACTGGACACAGTACTCCAGCTGCGGCCTCACTAAGGCCGAGTACAGGGGGAGAATGACGTCCCGGGATTTGCTTGAGAAGCATCTATGGATGCAAGCCAGCGTTTTGGTCGCTTTACTAGCCGCCGCATCGCATTGCAGGCTCATGTTCCTCTTGTGGTCAATGATGACCCCCAAGTCTCTTTCTTCCATAGTGCTAGCCAACATAGCACTGCCGAGCCTATAAGGATGCTGCGGGTTTTTTTTCCCAAGGTGGAGAACCTTGCATTTATCGGCGTTGAACACCATCAGATTCTCGTCCGCCCACTTGCTGAGCCTGTCCAGGTCAGCCTGGATAACCTGCCTGTCCTCTGGTGTGGATGCTTTGCCCCAAAGTTTGGTGTCATTGGCAAACTTGGCCAGTCTGCTTCTGACTCCAGTGTCCACATCATTAATGAAGATGTTGAACAGTATGGGTCCAAGGACAGAGCCTTGGGGGACCCCACTGGTCACAGGACACCACGACGAGTGACTTCCATCGATTACTACCCTCTGGGTCCGACCCCGGAGCCAATTTTCCAGCCAGCGGATCATGGAGGACCCAAGGCGACAATTGGCCAGTTTCTCCAAGAGGCGATCATGGGACACCAGATCGAAGGCTTTTTTGAAGTCAAGATATATGACATCAATCTATTCTCCCTTGTCCAGGTGATAGGTCACCTGGTCGTAGAAGGAAATGAGATTGGTCAAGCAAGACCTACCCACAACAAACCCGTGCTGGCTATCCCTTACGATGTTGGCGTCGACCAGTCCATTAAGGATGGCCTCTTTAATAAACTTTTCTAAGATCTTCCCCGGGATAGAAGTCAGGCTAATGGGCCTATAGTTAGCCGGATCCACTTTCCTCCCTTTCTTGAAGATAGGCACCACATTGGCCTTCTTCCAGTCTTCGGGCACTACACCAGAGCGCCAAGAGTTTTCAAAGATCCACTTGATAAGTTTCAGCACTCCTCCAGCATATTGATAGTACTGGTGTTTCCTCCACATCCCTTCCAGTGTTAGGTAGTTCATAAGTGGCCTACAGTGTCACTTCACAGTGTCATGGGCAACCATGAATACAACTATCTAGATAACCTGGTTTCAGGGAAAGCATGAATAGTGCATTACTTACCAGTAACCACAGAGTTCCTGCCAGGACTTTCACAATAGGCCAAAACTTTCTGGAGATATTGTGCATAGTGCCAATTTCACAGAGAAAACAGCAGTAACACCACGACTAGGGAGAGCCCCAGCAACATTGCCTCCCCAACAATCCCACCTCCCAGCCTATATACTACTCTGGACCTCTCCTGCAATCACAGTGCTCCTTCTGTGTCTGCTCAACCACTCTGGAATAGGGGGAGGCATTTTGAACTATATACATAATGCTAAGATTCCGATGGTGCACGTACTTGGTAAAGGCTTTCTGAATTTCGCCACTGTCACAGGCAGAGTCCATCAAATCATCTACCACAACCATATTTATTAGGAGGAAACAAACAGTCGTTGAGACTATCCAGTAGACCCTCCACAAACTTGGTAAAAGGATACTTACAAAGCAGTTCTTTATACAAAAGCTAACAACAGCTATAGCACCACACGATATTCTCAGGTATAACACACAACATTCGATCAGCGTGATCCAGAAGGTTTTTTATAAAGTAATTTATACCACAGTTGCTAGGGCCTGCCAAAATCACAGAAAAGGGGTGCTTCCAATGCATATCCATCTTTAAAAACCATAGGGGAGGCTGTTAAAAGTTTTCTGTGAGAACCCTTTTGTCATAAATGACTTTCTGCATTTTTCTCCAGGTTTTGGTTTCTATCGTCCACTTGCTTTTGTTCCTGACGATAGAGCGCTGTTGTATCACAGTTGTTTTAGGGGTGTCCCCAGCGGAGTTTGCCCCATAATCTAGAACAAGATCTCTCAAGGTTTCAAAGTTGACTTTTTCACTGTTGGCCACATTCAGGGTAATCCCTTTCACCTTCAAGCAAACCTTTCCCCTGGACAACTTGTACCCATAGGTTTTCGGACCAGCCGACACAAACTCTGTGATGTATTAATCTGGTGGGATTTTGCTGGTGAGCTTGCCTAAATAATCGCCTAGCGGGGGGTTCCAATCTCCCTTGCAGCTCACAAATATCCCAGAATCGGTGTCGTGGTACAGACAACGTTTTTGCAAGCTGTCTAACAGCTCATACAACTCTGAGCATGCATAAGCGGTGGTGAAACAAGCTATAAAGATGTTTGTGTTACCAGAGACAGTGTAACAGTCTTTGGCGTGTTTCCAAGATACGCAGGCTGCCTCATCATCAATAAAGTTGCAAGATAAAATTTCATAGGCGAGAGAAAAGGTAGTCAAAGAGTTCTTCGGGGTCTGTAACTACACTGGTGTTGGGCAAGTTTGTTCTCTAACCGAATTCACCCCACAAAGAATTTAGAAACAATTTTGCTATTTGGTGCTTTGCAGGGTTGGGTTTGACATGCTCTGGGCGTTAGGTCACACCTTCTTTTTGCAAGAAATTGGCCACATATCTCTCTCGTTTTTCTTGGTTGGTACACCAGGCAGGGTAGCCCGAGGCTTCCTGCTTCTGTCGGAGGTGCATTTTTATGTACTGTGAAAAAAGGGTGCTAGACTTCTCGGCAAAATGCCAGACTTCATAGAGTTGAGCTGCTGTGCCCAGGAGGGCCCTCGTTTCATCAGTGTGGTCTCACTTTTGATGTCTTGTTTCCGCGCAGAGGCGGCACAATGTGAACATAAGTTTCCCATTCACCCTGGTGGGTAGCACAGGAAAAAAAAGATTTAGCGGTGGATACAGTTTCACCCTGGCTATTCCAAAATACCTCGATGGGGTTTGGAAATTGTCAGAAATGATTTCAGGGTGTCCAGTTGGCTGTTACTTCATTTTGTTTATAAAGGGGTAAAGACTGGTAAAATCGTAATAGTGTATTTGTTCACCGGGTTTAGTTTGGTAATACAGACATATGGCATTAGTACTCCCCCCAAAAAGAGCATCCCTAGGCACCAGTGGAGAAGGCAGCAGGGTTCTGTTTAAAAAATCTGCCCGCTCCCCATCCGTTTCTAACAGAGCCCTTCACTCGTGCTCCCAAATGGTCCTAACAGTAAACTCCTCTCTCTTGACATAATCGGTCTTTTGCAATGCCTGATAATTCAGAAACCCGAAGGTTGTCTACATCAACGGGTTCTGGTCTTTCTCATTGTAGCAAGTGGCACAACCATGGAAAAAACATCCATTAAATTCAAACGCCGTAGGTTCCCCATCAATGTTGGCATAGCCATCTAAAAAATAGGGGCCTACCTGAAATTCCCCACCCTGTAAGGCATGTCGAATTTGAATATTTTCTTTCTCCAAAATGTACGTTTGCCACTGAATAGATGGGGTTGAAAACCTCTTTTTCTGTCTGTGATAGTTGTCTGGGGGGAGAAGCGCTATGGTCTGCGGTTCCACAAACATAAACCTGTACATGGCCATGCAGATGGAGGCCAGCATGATGAATCGGAAAGGATCTATGCAGCGTACTACATTTTGGAGTTCACCATCTACTTTCACTCCGTCTATCTGCCGTGTCATTTTCATAATCTCATCCCTGTAGAGGCAGCAGGCCTCTTTCAAAATGTTTACGTCCTGCTGGCAATAATAGGCCAGCTCCTTTTGCATGTCAAAGGTCTTATCGCAGTTATTCTGATACCATTCTAAAAACTCTTCTTTCTCACCGGACATCATATTTTCAACGCCGTAGTACTCCATCTTTGGGAGAGGCCCCACATAATTTTGTTTTTTGCCGTGTTAAAAAAATGTGGGAAATAACCTTTGCATCCTTCAAACCCCATCGCCTGTGGAAGCCTGCTAAGTTTCACTGGCAAAA